CTAATATGTTTTGTATTTGTTATCTTGTTCACTATTTAATATTTTGCTTGTTAAATGACTAATCTAGATTTATGTTGTATAACACTTGGTACAACAAATACTTGGCACTTTCATAATTGAATCGTATAGTATAACCTACATCTGTGCTATGCAAAAGCTCTGGCAATGTTCTCTCTCTTTCGGAGCCACGCACACACGCAGCTCCTTTTATCCCAGAACAAGGATTCTCGTGGCCATGTCCCTTGTAAAGCAAATTGACTCACACGCTTCGCAGTCGAAGTTCTATTTGAAAATTCCCAGAAAAAAAGAAGAAAAGGATCATGATCGTTGAGCAAAACAGAGTACTGTGTTGTGTTCTGCTAAACTTCCACATGCAGTTATTAGCAGGTCAGGGAGGAAAATTCAAAGTCAATTTGATGTGCTTTTATACCAACCAGAGTCGTTGTTTGTGAATTATGCTTATGGTGATGATTAAACTCCAATTTCCTTCCACGTCATTGTCTACAGTCGAAGTTCTATTTGAAAATTCCCAGAAAAAAAGAAGAAAAGGATCATGATCGTTGAGCAAAACAGAGTACTGTGTTGTGTTCTGAAACTTCCACATGCAGTTATTAGCAGGTCAGGGAGGAAAATTCAAAGTCAATTTGATGTGCTTTTATACCAACCAGAGTCGTTGTTTGTGAATTATGCTTATGGTGATGATTAAACTCCAATTTCCTTCCACGTCATTGTCTACAGTCGAAGCAACCACTTATATTGTACTAGGTAGTTGTTTCCTAGAACATAACGCCCAGTTTCTCAAGATTTCTTTATCATTTTATGATCAATGTAGTGATTAATTTAAGAAAAGAAACTTTTTTGCTAGTCACACCTTATATCTAGTTGGTTATAATTGCTTATTAGTCATTGTAACTAGTTCATATGTAAAGTAATCACTTATATTGTACTGTGTAGTTGTTTCAGCTATGTGGACATATTTAGTTCTGATCATTATACCAAATAGCCTTCTAGCTGTAGGGTGCTAATTCCCTATATATTTCAATTCTTTATGAATGGATTGCAAAGTGTTTTGCTACTCGGTCTAAATATATAATAAAAATATATGATTTGGCTTGAAATTATATTTCTTTTTATAAATTATATCAGTGCCAAGCTGTGTGCAAAATGAGAAACCAGAATTGAAGTCTGAATATTCTAGCTAAACAGATGATTTGGCTAATTGTTCTACTAATTTTGTTAATTAAATAGATTTTTCTATTTTCTATTTTTTCCCATGGTGTCCCTTGTTCTGTAACTTTATTTTTCATATCATGAGCTTTTTTTTTTCTTATTTAATATAGGTCCTTAAAATATCTTCACATGATTGTAGTACTTCAAGTAGTGATCCTTCAACGTTCCAATCATCTCAACCTTTAATTTTCATGTCTAGTAGTAGAGGAAAAACAGATTTGACATGAGGTCATTATAGAGAAGCTCCTAAACTTAGTGTTGGATGTGAAAAAACTAAATTAGTATGTTTATATTATGCTAAAGCATTTGCGAGTGGTGGCATTAATTAATTTACGCAAAATTTAGCTAGAGCATGCTAATGTTTTATTATGTGTTGATGAGATTGACTTAATTCCATCGATATTTGATTCAAAGTTTTCTCTTATGGACATTGAAGAACTTAATGTGTTTATTCAACAAAAGTGAATGTGTTATTGATTTAGAATTTATATTTTTTGATGTTTTATTTTAAATATTTTAGAATTTATATTTGGTTTATGTTTTGGATGGTGAATTAAATTTATATTGTTGGTTTAAAATTTAAATTTAGTGTATATAAGTGTTGCATTGTAACTAATTAAGTGTTTTCTATAAGTGTTGCATTGGATTTTTTTTTTGTTGACTTGGGTTAACCCATATAACCCGTGATCTAATCATTATATCGAGTTTGGTTTCAGAACTATGCTACATACTCAAACAAACAAAAAAACAAAAAAAGATATATAATGCAATTGAAGTACATGTTTTTTTCTCTATTTAAGTTTTTATACTCATAAAAATAGATCAATAAGTGTCATTACTCAATTTTGACCTCTATTTTCAAAATATTTTCTAAAAAAAAGCATTAAAAAAATAATATTCAAATTAAGATTTTTAAAATTTCTCAAGTTTAAATTAGATAAGATAAAATTTTTAATTGGCAATGCATTTTAAGGGTTGTGCTTGTAAAGAATTGGCCATGATTGAGAAATTAAAAATGCCAAAGACCAAAATACTAAATTGGCCTAATTAAAAAGAAATTAAAGAAAAATGATAAAATTGGTCAAAATTATAAGAAATAAAGGATAAGGGATCGGTGTGATAAGTTGGGAGATCCTATTAATTCAATCAAGAACTTAATCAAATGAATAATTTTGACTTAATGACCATTTTAAATCAAATTTGAAGAAATTATAGGTTTAGGGACTGTAATGAAAATTCAGGGAGTTTGAGGGACTCAATTAACTTCAATCAAGGACCTAATTGAATAAATTTCAATTAATCAATGCAATTTGACCTAAATTGTAGTCGCAAAGGTCTGCATCCCTCATATCTTCTATGCGTTTTTTTATTATTTTATTTTATTATTATCAGAGTTTGTGCATGTTTTTGTTTTTTCAATCTAACGGTGGTCATCCTAACCTATTTATCCAAGGGTCACAAGTTTACAATCTTGGCCCTGTCATTTTACACTTTGTTTGCCTGTAAGTACAAACATAAGAAACATAAGAAAAATGAGAGAACATAGCCGAGGAACACACATAGAGACATATATATATATATATATATATATATATATATATATAGAGTCAAATTTTTTAGCTCGTTTCTTGTATTTCGATTTAAGATGTGAAAGACTTACCTTGATCTATATATTATCCTACTTCTAAACTGCAATCGACCAATTATGTAATTTGGTGGTAGAGAAAGAAACATTGAACTGTTTGTTCATGGAAGTTCATTTGAACTTGAACACAGCTGATGTCCTAAACATCACTTGAAACTAGGGAAATAACTAAAGAAAGCAATTCAAATCTCACTCTTTTTGGTGAGAAGACTAACCCCATTTTGGAGCGAGCATAATAGATATATATACAAGAAACAGTTGCTTGAAAGAGACCGTGATGTCTTGATAGCTAATTTAAGGTAGCAGCAAAGTATGCCAAGGGTCCAACCATAGCAGCGTTGATGTATGTAGCAGGCTCCGAATGACTATAATCGCTGCGTTCATCTGGGTAGCCATCATTCTGGTTCGGACCGCCCACAATAGCTCCGGTTAAGATGTTAGGATTAGGATTTGCTGAATGGAAGAAAGGCTCGAAGCCACTATCACAACCTATAGCTTGAGGGTGGCTTGCCAATGATGGCAAAGAAGAACCTCTATGGTGAATTCTCTTAGGAAAATTTGGCCCGAATCCTACCATGTAGGACATTCGAATTGGATTCTCCCCTAGTATGTAATCCACCTATAAAGTTCCTTAAGTTAATTAGTAGTAGAAGACCAAACGTTGAGCAAGAAAAGAAAGAAATTATAGATTAATCTAATTCATAGAGGAAAAAAAAGCCTTTATAGCTTGCCTGTCTTTTAGCCACATATAACAGGGAATTTGGAGTGACTAAGAGATTGCCACAGTTGAAGGTGTGCCTGGTTGCTTTCATGTATTTAGCATAAGTCGTGAGCAAGAATGTTATGGATGTCACATATTGGAGGTTGCTTTCAGGTAGCTTGTACATCAACCCTCCTGCGTCACAATGAAATTGTTGTGTTGGATAAAATTTTAAATGTTGGAAACAACAAAACATAATATATATATATACATATAGAAAGAGAGAGAGAGAGAGAGGGGGGGGTTCATAGAAGCACTGATAGAGAGAACTAATACAAAGAGTTTCTAGGGTTCTAGTGAAAGGATGTAGCTAGAGTTTAGTTGAAAAAAACATGAGAACAAAAGGAGAGACTTACTGGGAGGGAAATGCAAGAAACCTAGGAGACTAAATATGTTATCTAGTTGAATCAATATTTTTTCTATTAAATTGGTGCATGTCTTTCTTGTTGTTATTAACTATATTCATGAATATGTAAAGACAAGGGTAGATGTATTTAAAAGGCTGAGGTGAGCTATAGTCTAGGTGAAAATTTTTTTTTCATAGAAATCCAATAAGCCACTTTATAAAACTTTATCCCTTGTCCTTTATTGGAAACCATAAAAAACATAAACATAAACAATTAATTAGTTATGAGACAATTAGATTCACATAATGCATAACTTGGGGTTTGAACTTTCTTCTTCTTAACAACATATATTTAGGCTTTGTAGAGGAATCTATACAGAGAGCTTAAAAATTACAAAACCACCAGGTAAGAATTTTCAAGTTATGACTTTTCTTGTTAAATCATGTGTCATCTTCATTGTAATAGACTGTAATTAATGATTTGGTGAATATCAATGAATTGAATTGACTGCTTTTATAATCCTTTTATCTTTGGATTAATTGTGGTTGAATTTAATTCACGTAATATAAAATTAAAGGTATTGGTGCATAGAGAAATCATATCTTAGATTTTAGAAAATTCTTAACTTCCACAGCCATAAGACGATCGTATTCTCCAGAATACATGTGATTTATGTTGATTTGTAATTTTAAATACACATGATTTTTGTATCTATGGAAGTACTATCAATAGTGGTAGTCTGTATTTTATGAATATTGTGGCATTAATATTTCTTCATCTTACACTTGACTTCCCTAATCTCTTGTACTTGAATAGGTTATAAATTATAATGGAAAATTAAGAGAGCAAGAGAGGAAAAACTATATTTTCATTCTTTAAATCAAGCAAGCAAGCAATCATCAACCAGTAAATGACATTCTCCATCCTAAATTGATGTTTAAATCGTAATAACCAACCTCTTTTCAAATCTTAGAAAGATGAAATTGATGTTAATACTCTTGAATGAGATCCTAGGATACTAATTCCATTGTAGTAACATCCTATTAATCAACAAGATAAAATTAGATGAGTTTATATCAAAATGGGTCTATATCAACCTAAGTTAGCAGAGTATCCAAGGACTGAATCAAGAAGACAATATCATCAATTTCAATACTCTTTGTTTGATCAATTTTCTTGGTTAGAGTAGTTCCCTTCAAAGGATGCAATATTTTGTTTTCCATTCTTTATCTTTAAAAACAAAGTACCTTGTCATCCCACATTCACTACCAAAGGCTTTAAAAGTTGGAAGAGGGTTAATGATGGGATTTGAAGTGCACTTATGATTCATGTGTGAATTCCCACTTTGCCATATAATAATGTTGTGAAATCTGCTGAAGATTTAATGAAAGTAAGTGGACATATTGACAAAGTGTTAAATGCAAAAATTGTTAAACAAGTTCAGAAAAATTGATTGCAACTTAGGACAACAATTAAAAGTGTTCAATGGCTTAGCTTACAAGTATATGCATTTGAAGGTCATGATAAATCTTCAGCTTCTAATAATTGAGGCAATTTTATGGAGACGATAAGACTTAAGGAGAGATTGAATGTTGACATTGATGATGTCATCTTAGAAAAAGCTCTAAAAAATACCAAGTATACCTCATTGATTATTTAAAAAGAGATTTTGTATATTCTCGTGAACAAAATGAAGAAAAATATTTGTGAAGAATTTAAAGATGTAAAGTTTTGCACTTTGGTTGATGAAGCCAAAAATGCATTAAATAAAGAACAAATGGTATTGTTTTAAAATTTGTTGACATTCAAGGTTTTTAACGAGAGCACTTTTTTGGTATTGCGCATGTTTTAGACACTAGTTCTTTAATGCTCAAAAAATAAATTTATGATGTGCTCGCTCGATATAATTTGCATATTCTCAATATGCGAGGTCAAGGATATGATGGTGCTAGTAATATGCGTGGTGTATAAAATTAAAGATTGTCTATATGTATATTATGTACATTGCTTTGCTCATCGACTATAATTGCCATTAGTTGCAGCAGTTGAAAATAAGATTTTCATTTGGTTATTTTTTTTAAAATTAACAACCATTATCAATCTTATTAATGCTTCTTCCAAATTTCATACCATGTTAACATCTAAAGGAGAAGCTACCTCACTAATCTTATCAATAATCTTAAAATGGATATAAAAAATGACATAACTTCTTATTAGTATGTTATACTGTTGATCCTTGATGATAAGCTTGTAACTTGAGATATACCTAGTTTATTTCATATCAATGCAATGTTTATCAACCAAATTCTTTATATGTTTTTAAGCCTATTGATTAATACTTAAAAGTGTATTTTTATCAAGGTTTTATATTATTATTTTGCACTTGAAGTATTAATAACTCCTTAACTAAAGCATGTTTTATAATAACAAGTCTGATACTATAAGGTATCTTTAATTTATGGTAAATATTCATCTTAAATGCAAATTTATCACATATATAAAAGAATTAATTGATGAGTTTAACTACTGAAATTGAGAAAACAAAGAGAAAGCTAAGCTTAGAAAAGAAATGTTGGTTCAGTCCAAACTGGAACATTATTCGATTATTGGATCATAACTGGAGCTATAGAACTTAAATTTAGGTTTGGTTTATATGTATGGAAAGCTAAGATATAGGTATAAAACTTTCATGAGAGTTCAAGATTTAAAAGTGTCATTTTCAAGATTAAATGGTCGAAACAATAGAGAAGTCATAATATGTCCTGCAACCCAAACATTATTCAATGTTCAATTCATATCTCGAATTGTAAAAGTCCAAATGCCCAATTCTTATTTTATTGAAAAGTTGAAATAATTTTCTAGAACTTTTATAAAGACTATCTATCCAATTTAAATGTTAGCAATGATGTTTTGTTTAGATAAGGAGATAAGGATTGTCATCCAGTCAAGATGTGGTCACCCACTCAACAATTAGTCTCAATAGTTCTGAATTTTAACCTATAAAAGGAGGCATTTGCCATACATTTAGGCATTTTGGTTTTCAGATCAAGATCATATTGTTGCTCTTTTTCTTTATATTTTTGTAATACTTAAGTTTTGCTTTAATTAATCTCTTGTTTATACCTTTTATTTTCTTTACTATACTTATATAATCATGTTCTCCTTTTGTTTGTTTATGTTTCTTTTCTTTATTTTGTTTAATTAAGTTTATTATATCAAGGTTAAAAGATTTCACTAATGGTATTAGGATAAATATAATATAAACTCAATATAAACTTTAATGATTATATCCTAAATAACTTGCTATTGACATGTCTTATCATTTTTATCTTATTAATTCTTAATACCTTACTTGTTAAATGGTTAATCTAAATTTGTAGTATATAACACTTAGTATAACAAATACTTGTCACTTTCATAACCAACTGTGTGATATAATCTACATTTGTGCTATGAAAAGAATTTGATTTGTTATTAACATAAGTTAGCATCATGAATTCTTAACAATATTTAAAAGTTTAGTGTTACTTAAATAAGATAATTGATATGATCATGTTAATAATTATAATGAGTTTATATTATACTTATTTGAAATACTATTAGTGGATCCTCTAATCTTGACAACTGTTTTTTTTATTGTTTAATCTCCATATTAATCTTACATCTCAAAGTTCTATTTAACTCATCATCATCATTACTATTATTATTTATAATTTATATAATTAACTTCCATGTGGTTCGACCTCGATCTTGCCGAGTTATTTATTATTTTGACACTCATACATTTGAGAGAAGATATCAACTTTTTTTGTCGTGTTACCTATTGAAAATGAAACTTAAACAAATCCTAACATAGTTTCTTTCTCACTACTATTAACAATAATATCACAATGTCATATTAGAAGACATATTATATAAAACAACATAATCCATTTCGGTTAATTATTTACAAATTCCCTAATTCAATCAAAATTTATAGCATCAATTACCTTAATTTATACCTAATTGTTTTCATTAGATGAAAGCCTCTAATTATCCTAAATTGTTATAAAAAATCAACATAAAACCTTTTTTCTAATTTAAACCTAATTGATATAATTGATTGTTTTAATTCATACCTAGTTACGTAAAATTCCTTAATTATCCCAATTAGGCCTAAAATTCAATGTAAAAGCCTAAAACCTAATTGGTGTAATTTATAACATCAATTAATTTGTTTGATAACTAATTACTTCAATTAAAAAAATTCACCAAAGAATCAATTATTCTTTTTAGGAAATTCAACATAAAATCCTAATTGTTTTAAATTCAACTAAACCTTAGCCTAACAAAATAAATTCTTTTAGTGATCACTTCAATCCTAGCATAATCATGAAATAACAACCAATTTCACATAATTAAAAGTGAGATAGAGTCCTTACCTTGATTTGTTTAAAGAAAAATGGTGGAAGTGATAATAGTAATACACTAGGTGTAATGAATCCATAGTAAAAGCAAGAGTTCTTCTAATTTAGAAACAAAAATTAAAAAAGATATTGAATAGGTTTAGACAAGGGTTATTAGTGATAATGAACAATATTTTCCAACTATCCATGCACCTTGTCGAGAGTTTTTAATAATTTAAAGTTTTTATTTATTGATGAGGTATTTATAGTCTTATTAGGTGGGTGTTATTATTAAACCTCTAACTAGTCAATTTAGGAAATGAGTAATGACACTAGAATTCATAGTCTTCATTTGTTGATTAACTGTTGGAGTTTGGGAATAGAAAAATATTGAGATGACATCCCTTCTTGTTCAAAAATTCGGGTCTT